ATCCCTGCACCAGGCCTCTAGTTATGTATAACAGGATATTGTAAAAATTAAGTTACGAGATTTTTATTAAAACATTGCTTACATACTGTTATATTGGCTGGGCCACAAAAATATTCGTTGTGGGCGCATGTTTGACATGCTTGTTTTTAGTGCTGAGTCATCTTCCCTTGTATGGATGTACCTCTTTTCATCCATTTACACATTGAGGGGCATTTGGGTGATTTTGAATAAAGCTACTGGAAACATTTGTGAACAGGTTTTTGTGTGAATGTAATCTTTCACTTGAGTACAATCTAGAAATGGGATTGCTAGGTAGCAGTAGCTCCATTTTAGTGATAGATTGGAGACAATGCATTCTCTTCGAAATTCTCTTTTCTAGTCAACATCACATAATATTGGCAATTATTTACTACCTGGAGAAATCTCTGTGATCGTGTATTTTTCACACAAGATGGAAAACAGTTGTTACATAGAATAGTGGAGATAGGGATACCTAACAAGCTAAAATCTCTAATGTTTCTGATTTTCATTTCCAGCCAAAATGGGTCTCTGAGTGCCACTAGAAAGACTAGAGCGTTTCAAGAAGCAATTTGTCTAACTTGTGTTTTCCCACCTTGACTTATGATTTTTTGAAAATGTTGGTTAATTGATGCATTTGATTCTGTCGGTAAATGAAAGGGCAGCTCCCGTTGATGTCTGTGCTCTCTGGACCAAAAGTGGAGTAAGAGCCCCCGGTGACCCGAAGTGTTTCTGAAACGTTGGGAAGGAAGGACTTGCTCAGGAGCACAGAGGACCCCTGGGAACGGTGGTGGCTGTCGTGGCACATCGTGCTGCTGGGACCATCAGAAAGGGAAGACACTGGAGAGAGAATGGCTGGGACACTCACTCAGAGGCTTTCACTTCTCTGGCTGTTGTGTTCAAGTCCAAAGAGATAATCCAGAGAAATGTGACTTTGTAGCATGCAATCTTGACATCTCTTCGAGGAAGACCACTGGGCCCATAAGTTACCAAATTTATATAATATATATAAATATATAAAAATATATAAATTATTGATTTCAGAGAGGAAGGGAGAGGGAGAGAGAGATAGGAACATCAATGATGAGAGAATCATTGATTGGCTGCCTCCTGCTTCCGGCACGTCCCACACTGGGGATTTAGCCCACAACCGCCAACAACCCGGGCGTGTGCTCTGATTGGGAATCGAACTGTGACCTCCTAGTTCATAGGTTGACACTCAACCACTGAGCCACGCCAGCCAGGCAAGTTACCAAATTTTAAAGGGCTTATAATTTTGTACATTTAAGGCCAGAGGGTACTCATTCTGTAAAGATTGATCTATTGTGTTAATAGTTACCCAGTTCACTAGGTTCAAAATTCATGAATTTCAATTTTTAAAAAATGTTTTTAATTGATTTGAGAGAGAGAGAGAGACAGACAGACAGACACATTGATTTGTTGTTCCACTTATGCATTCATTGGTTGATTCTTGTATGTGCCCTGACTGGGGATCCAACCCGAAACCTTGGCATCTCCAGACGACACTCTAACCAGCTGAGCTACCCTTCCAGGGCTCTGCTGGTTCTTTTAATGTCACCTTCTCGTAGGAGATGAATGTATTCCTAGACCAAGCCAGCTGAGGTTTTCTATGTGACTTTGTTTAATCTACCTCTACTTTTCTCCTGCCTGTGAGACAAGCAGCTGGGGGAGGTTCTCACAGTGCAGAGGCCTCGGTGCCTCCCACTGCTGCAGACAGGGCTTCCTGCTTCCTGCTCAGGCACAGTTGTAGGATTCTCCATTGGGCTCTGCCTCCTCTGCTCCTTAAAACCTGACCAGTTTCCCCAGCGAGCCCTCACCTTCCAGAAGCTACTTCTACAGCTATGGGCCTTGTTTCGGCTTCTTATTGCATGTGTGCCGCCCCATCGTCAATCTTTTTGTAGCTCTTCCACCTATTTCATGGTATTTAACTGATTTTTGCTTGGCTAAAAATGGAGTTTATGGTTTTGTTTCTTATTCTGTTGGATGATTTCCAGGAAGCCAGGGGGGATGCTGAGTTGATGTCAACATCTTCAAACCCAGAGTCTAATTATGGGTTTGGTATTTAATTCCCAAGAACAAGAAAGAAAAAAGTTGTGTAGTTGGTAGTGGCCTTTTACATTTAGAGAAGACACAGTTAGAAAAGGTCTCCCTTTACCACCCTCAGGGTCGTGGTTTCTGCTGAGGAAGCCAGCATGGCTGACGGCGGGGTGACGGTCACCTCTGAACACCCTGTTCCAGCCTCATCTTTTGGTCTGTGGTTGAAGACAGCCGTTGGGACTTTTCTCTAGACATGGCTCCCCCAGGACAAAGACTTACATTGATTTGCAGAAGCTGCTTATGGTGTGGTTGCCTCGAAGGCCTCACCTCGCAGAGGGGTAAGGTTTCACAGGCCAGTGGGAGCCAGGCTGCGTGCTGGCCCACCCTGACGATAGCACAGGCCAAGGCCCTCTTCAGGGCCAAGATGTGTAGTCAAGAGCACCGGGATCTGTTACTTTGTCTTGTGTGTGCACATGTGTGGGGCTGCATCTCCCTTATCCGTGTTTCTTAATCTTTCTCATGTCAAGGGCCTCCTTGATTGAGAGGCCAAACGCTATGGCTCTTCTTCCTAAAACATCGCACACATGCCCGTGGCTTTGTACATCGTTTCTGGGGTTCATTGCCATCCTTAAGTCTGAGTGGCCTCTCTATGAAGTCATGGCCCTCAGGTGAAGAACCTCCACTTACTATGTTGGGGGAGGAATGGGCACTGCGTTCTCCTTGTCAAGAGTAGACACAAGTCTGCGGGGAGGTTCTCCGTGATGTTCCGGTTTCCCCTAATTTATATTCAGTTTCATTTAATATTCAAGTTCATTCTGTCCTCCTTTGCCAAGACTAATCAAGAATTGTGGGGTATACCTAAGACTAACACAACGTCATATATCAATTATAGCTCAATTAAAAAGAAAGAAAAAGGGCGTTTTCTCATTACTGTGAGTTTTAACTTGTTGAAATATCTTCTGTTTCTAAAATTCTTGGCTCCTTGGGCTATTCTTGGACAATTTCTGTATCTTCCGTTTGTTGGTAGGAGTTGAATAGACCTGTATGTTATTAGAATGTCTAATTTATCTACAAATACGTTATTAATTTTGTATTCTCTCCACTATATTCTTAATTAAAAGCAAAGAATGACAAGAGAGTCCCTTGGGTCATGAAGTACCAATTCTGCTTGCTCCCAAGGTACTTCACTGCCTTGTCCTTGTTGAGCAGGAGGGTTGGGGAGGTTCGCCTGGCGTCCTGGTTATCAGTGCCAGCCAGTGGCCAACCCAGTCCCCAACCCAGGAGGCTCCCTGAGAATGTCCTGATTGAGTAGAAGCAGAACTTCCCTCAAGTGCCGTTGTGTTGTTTACTTAATAACGTTTATGAAATTATTTTGTCTCATTTTATTTCTGGGACATACCAGTGAAGTGTGTGTTGTTTTTTTAAAATATATTTTTATTGATTTCAGAGAGGAAGGGAGAGCGTTAGAGAGATAGAAACATCAATGATGAGAGAGAATCATCGATTGGCTGCCTCCTACACGCCTCCCACCTGGGATCAAGCCTGCAGCCTAGGCATGTGCCCTCAGCTGGAAGCGAACCTGGAACCCTTCAGTTTTCAGGCCTATGCTCTATCTACTGAGCCAAACCGGCAAGGGCTGAAGTGTGTTTTTAAAAATATACTGGTGGATTTAAATTTTTGAAAGTTAGATTTGTTTGATTTGGGTTATACAGAACTTAATAGAATTAATTTTAATTAAATGTAAAAGTTATTTCAGAGGAATTTTTATTTACATTTGCTTATGAGCTTTTAACATTAAGAGCTGTACTCCTTGAATTCTTCTTAAAATGGAAATGCTAGTGTTCGTTTTCGCTCAGACTTCAGGGCTGTGGGGTGGGGAGTGGGAAAGACACATACCCAGCACATTTAATACTGAGGCCCGCTTCCGGAGTTCGCCCAAGGAGGGGACTTGGTGAAAGCTGTTTCTCTAGTGACTAGAGGAAATAGAAGGTAAATAGATGTAAACACCAGTAGAACAGGTTGGTTTTTAATGCTTTGATCTGCAGGTCATTTTTCATTTTTGCTGTTTTTTTCTTTTTTTCTAGTTTTATTGTCAACCTTCTGTCATGTTACTGTTGGCGACGGTCGTTTAAGAAACGCATTGTTTTGTATTTATTGTAGACTCTCTGTTCTGGGTGATGCTGTTTAATCTCCTCACCTTCCTTTTCCTCTTCATACTCCCCGCACCCGGAGCAAACTGAACCTGTGAAGTTCTAGGACAGAGAGAAACGGCCACGCATGGAAGAATGCAGTGACTGTCCCTGTTAGCTTACTCGGTAGTGATCTTCAGAGAAATGGAGATGATGCGAACTGGTTGTGAACCAGGGGCCTTGGCCTGGAACGTTCGCCAATGACCGGATGTGGAGGGACAGGAAGCTGCCTTCTGGGATGTATAGATAACCTCTAGGTCTCTCCAGGGAGGCCCGCTGGGCTGACGCTGTGTTAAATTACTCTCCAGGTGGACGTGTGCAGTCACTTTCGTCAGCATCCTTGAGGGAGAACCTCGAGACGAGGGTTTTATTTTATTGCATTCCTTCTGAAGAGAGCGCTGCCATTCGCCCCAGGCCCTTCTCTGCCCTTTTGAATTCAGACCTTTGTTGGGACTCTCCCAGCCGGAAATGAAGATGTTTCTGGAAGGCTGAGAGGGGATGAGATTGGGTGCCCAGCCTGCCCTGTAATTATCAGTACCCACCCCCACCTCACCTGGACCCGGGCCCGTACCCGGGGCCCTTCCTTCTCTCCTGGCCTCCTGGTATCTGATCTGTAATAAGTGCTTGGTCAGTCTCTGCATCTTTGAACAAGTTGCTGGTGAGAGAGGCTGGCTTTTGCTGATGAACAAGGTGGCTGAAGGGACCTCGTTTGACTGGGGCTGCCTCCTCTCCTAGGAGATGCTCTCAGGCGTGGTGGTCATCAGCGGGAAGGACCCCGTGCAGCACCAGGGCCTCTCCCTGACCGTGGAAGGCACCGTGAACCTCCAGCTCAGCGCCAAGAGCGTGGGTGTGTTCGAAGCTTTCTACAACTCCGTGAAGGTAGGAGTGCCTGGTGCACGTCATCGGTTCAGTACTCATGTTTGTGGTGGTTTTTACTTGTTGTCTGTCGGTATTTTGCAAATGGTGCAGTGATAGTCACACTTTTAATATTTACTAACCAAGCTGGAAAATACGTCCGCTGATTCTGAATAGATCCTTGATTGGACGTGGCTTGCTTGAATAGGAGCAGGAGAGTGGTCAGGGCTGAGCTGGCCATGACCAAGGCCGCGCTCCTCGGAGGTATGCGGTGGTCCTGCCCTCACCCTCCTCCAGCGGGACTGGCACTCGCCCTGTGCTCACGGCTGCTGCTGGATATGACGTGCTGGAAGAGCAGTGGCCGTTCTTTTTGTCATTTAGGGTGGATTCCGAATTCCAGAATGGGAACTCTTTTTCTGTATTTATAGTTTCCTTTTCCTGAAGGACATATTAACTTTCAAATTTAAGGAGGGAAGAGGTAAGAGGGGCTCGTTAACCGCATTCCCATTCAGGGCCGTCCCATTTTCCTACCTTAGCTCTTAGAGTTTCACGTCACGGGCCGGGCCCTGTCCCTCAGGGGATGAGACACCGAGACCGGGAGGCTCAGAACGTTCCCGGCGGCGGTGGACTGAGTGGCTTCTCTTTGCAGCCGATCCAGATTATCAACAGCACCATCGAGATGGTGAAGCCGGGGAAGTTCCCCAGCGGCAAAACCGAAATTCCTTTTGAATTTCCTCTGCACGTGAAGGGGAACAAAGTTCTGTACGAGACCTACCATGGCGTGTTTGTCAACATTCAGGTGAGTTTCCCGGCATGCAGTGGTCCTGGTGGTCCTTCCACTGGAAATGTGTGGGTGGACTGGAATGTAACCCCGCGCTTCCTGCCGTGACCGCTGTGCGCTCCGTGTCCGCATCTCGCTCCCCCGAGGCACATTTCCTGTGTGACCATTGTTTTCAACAGGAGCCCGGAGGACCCACGCTACAGCTTCTTCTTAAAACCCCTTGTGTCCCGCGCTCTGTGCAGCCACACGGGCTGTGAAGGGCGCTTTCATTGCTGGGTGACAGATAGGCCTCCTCTCGGGCACCGACCAGCTTGTCTGTTTTTATTCGCATAAACATCTCTTTGTTTAACACCAAAGGCTACTGCAGCATAGGCTGTATCCGCTATTGAACAAACCTTGTAAACGAGGGGAAGTGAATTTATGACTTCCTGTCCACCGCTGTGGTTCCGGATGTCTTTCACAGTTGCTATTGTCTCTGCGTTTGGAGGCATGACTGAGAGAGCGAGAGAGCGTGTCTTCCCTTCAGTCAGTGGCAAGGAGGGTACTTTTGTGATGTCAGTCCTGCTGCGGCCCCCTTGCTTACTGAGACGAGACACTTGTTGTCTTATGTGCAAAAGGGCTAACGTTAGGAATTTTTTGATTTAATAATAAAGCTTTAGCTGATAACTTGGTCTTGGTAGAGACCCTTCCCTGCCAGTCACCCTTTTGACAGTGAAAAGTGCCCTTCCTAGGAGTCTGCTCTCAGCCTGTGGGCGAGCACCTTCTTGCTTCATGCCTGTTGATGGTGTTCACTGGTGGTCGGAACAGGTGGGATCTGCACCTTCTTTTGTGCCCTGCTCAAGTCTGCCCACTCTGCCTCCTGCCGCTCCTACCCCCGGATCACACTGTGGTGACGGGGAAAGATCAAGATGAGGTGGAAAGAGGCTTCGCAGACAGATCTGAGCTCGAATTACAGAGCGGCGTAAAGACGGAGCGTGGGCTCCTGCCCCGGCAGGTGTGACTCCAGAGACCACCTCTGTGACCCCCGCGGCCTTCGCGGCCTCTCCGAGGGGCGGCTGAGGTCTTGGCGTGAGGTGGTCAGTTACAGTTACAGCGGCATGAGGGTGTGCCAGTGTATGGTCACTGAATGACTGAGTGAGTTCATGTGACTGCCCTTGCCCTGAGAATTCTCACATTTCTATTGTTAGAACTGAGATGGTACATCTGAGCGAAACACAGTTCCTGGGACATAGCATCAGCATTTTCCTCCGCCCCCCCTTTGTCCAACCCTCCCTGGCTTACTGCCAGCTGCCTTGTGTATTAATTATGCTTTCACACTTAAGAAACATTGTGACCAAAAGTTAGTGCCTGTTATTCACACCCTTTTATTTGCAAGTTATAGAAATCCAACTCAAGCTGACTTAGCCAAATAGGGGTAGGGATCAAAGAACTAGCGACTCCCAGAGCGTGGAGGCCAGGTCTCCCTTTGGGTGGCACAGCTGGCTGCCAGCAGGCGGCTGTGGCCCACCGTCTGCCCTTGCAGATCTCACTGGCTGCTGCTCTCAGTGCTGCTCCTCCTCACCCTCCACTCGGCCTGCTCTGTCTGCGGGCGGGACCCTGCACCCCTGTCCGTGGGTCCGACCACAGGATGGCCGTGGGAGTCGGCTGAGGAGTACCCTTAACGTGTATTTTTAAATATAGAAATGCCTTCATTTTGAGCACTAACTCACCCTTCTGTGTATAATTGATTTCAGATACACATTTATTAGACTACGTTTCCCTGAAACACTGACTTGTCTCCTTGAATATTCTAAGATGGAAACAAATGACGCTGAATGCCGTTTTCTTCCCCGTTTCCGTCTAGTACACCCTGCGCTGTGACATGAAGCGGTCGCTGCTGGCCAAAGACCTGACCAAGACCTGCGAGTTCATCGTGCACTCTGCGGTGAGCGGCCACGGGCCTGCGGGCTCACTGCCCCCAGTGAGGAGGCAGCCTGTCACCGTCGCTGCCAGCGACCGGGGCCAGCACGAGCACCCGCGTGGTGTCGCCCCCTGTGCCCAGCACGAGCACCTGCGTGGTGTTGCTCCCTGCGCCTGGCGTCCCCTGGGTGGTGCATGGGCTCACATGGCGCTGCACCTGGGGGGTTTGTGCCACGTTGAGGGGTCCCAGCAGGGGACCCACCTCTGTTAGCAGCAGTGACCATGCTGGGGGGCACTCATCCTCACCCCTCAGGCTGCACGGCAGACAGCTCAGATGGCCCAGCCTGGTGGAGCGTGGCAGACCCAGCAAGAACACACAGGGGCACGCGGGGCGGGTGGGTCGCCCCTCCTACCACCTCCTGACCCTCAGCAGTGACATCAGGTTAACAAATGCCTTTCACGTGTCACCTTCGGGAACTGGAGCCTCTGTCCCACCAGGAGACGCTGGGGAAGTTCCCGGGAGTCCTCTGCGGCGCAGCTGGGGCCTCGGGCATGAAACCTCGCAGTGGCGGGCAGCGCTGACCTCGGTGTGACACCTGGCGACACAGTCATGCTCACAGCCCTGGGTCTCTGGGTCTCACGCGGCGGCTGCCCCCTCTGTCCACATCCACAGTAGCCTCGTTCCCTCGTGCGTTCAGAGCCCACGTACCCTGCCTCTTGGTGCCAAGCTCTTCCTGGTTCACTGTGCCGCCCTTCCTGTCTCTAAAGAGGGAAGAAGTCTGACCCACAGAACTCCGGGCCCTCAAGCCCTGATTGTGGTTTCCCTCCCGTTGCAGCCTCAGAAGGGGAAGCTGACTCCGAGTCCCGTGGACTTCGCCATCACGCCCGAAACCTTGCAGAATGTCAAAGAGGTAGCGAGCTCCTCCCCCCGGGCCAGCGGTGTTACTCAGCCCTGGATCCCACTGGCAGGCTGGTGCCGATGGCTCTTCATTTGGCTGCCGAGAGGAGATTCCTGATTATCGTCTGTACCCCAAACAGTCTGGAATTCTACTTTGATTTCTTTTTAAACTCAGAAACTTCTTAGGAGACTCATACTGTGGAAAGTTTCCTAGGATGTATGTTTATTATTTCTTACATCTTCTAGTTTTGCACTGTGGTTAGACTCTTCCCTGAGCCCAGTCCCCACCACCTGCGTGTGGCCGCCTGTCTCTCCGCCTCCACGGACACAGCTGTTCCTCCTCGCTCCCACCCCGCAGCCTGCTCTCTGGGCCCTGTTGATCAGTCGGCTTGAAGGCAAGCTCGGGACTGGGGCTCCCGCCTGAGGCTGGCTTCATCCCTCAGAGCCACAGCGGAGCAGGGCGTGTGGTAGGCGGCCTTCGGAACGTCCACCGGCCACCCTGCTTTGGAGCACACGACTCCAGGGGGCCCGTCAGACTGATCTTCTGCCGGAAGCAGCCTTGCGAGGAGACTCACGGGGACTGTGGGTAGGGATGGGCCCTGGCCCCACCTCTACCACCTCACCCTGCCCTGAGAGCTCCCTAGGGCTGTCCCAGTCAGCCCCACTTTTTCTTAAGTTGGTTAGAATAAGTCTATATTTCTTACTTGTAAAGAATCTAAATCAGTGGTTCTCAACCTTCTAACGCCACGACCCTTTAAGACAGCTCCTCATGCTGTGGTGACCCCCAATTTCATTGTTACAAATTGAACATAATGAAAGCATAGTGATTAGTCACAAAAACAATATGTAATTATACATGTGTTTTCCGATGGTCTTAGGCGACCCCTGTGAAAGGGTCGTTCGACCCCCAAAGGGGTCGCGACCCACAGGTTGAGAACTGCTGGCCTAGATGATAGGAAACGTGGTCACAGCGGGAGAGAGGAATTGGTGGTGAGCAGAGAGAAAAGCAGCCCATTGCGGCCCCTCCTCGACTGTAACAGGGCGGAACCATCCTTCCTGATTGGAAAACCGTGTTCCTTCCACCTTGTCCTGTGCTCTGGTGGGTTGTATTGTTCCTTTTCCTGATTTATTAAGGTTGTCTCTGTTTCTTTCTGTTCTTAGTGTTGTTTGTTCCTTTTTTCTCTAACATCCTGTTTCTCCACTCCGGTCGCTACCCTTAAATGCTCAGATACACATGGACGGTGCAAGTTTAAATAACACTGAGAATCAGCTCCGTCGGACAGAAGGCTTGTAACGTTTTTGCATTTTCTCTCCTCACTCCGCCTTGTTTGTTGTGTTTGAAATCGACGTTCGGTTGTCATCCGTTTCATTTTTCCCACCGTTAGTCTTATTGGCGTACAGACCGGTTCTTCGTCGTTGCCTGAACTTTCACAGTCACATTCCGTGGCCTTACCTAAGTTTTACCACGGTCACTGCTCACCATTGGTGCTACTCCCTTATGTTTTCTTCTTTTCTCAACTTTGTTCTCGCTTAGCTGGAATACATCCTGGAGTCCTTTCAGAAAGGGGGGAGTGGGCGCGAGCCCTCGAGTGGCCGGAAAACCCCTGACTTGCTCCCACACTTGAATCCTAGTCTAGGTAGGAAAGTCCAGCTCCAATGTCATTTGCCCTTAAATAGTTCGTTCCCTGGGTTTCTAGTGCCCAGTGATACTGATGACAATCTGGTCCTCACGCTGTGAGTGCTGTTTCCTCTCCCTCTCCCTTATCCCTCCTCCCCTACAAACTCCCAGCCTCTCCCCTCCCTGTGCTGGGAAATGTCAGGGGACCCGCCCAGGCTTGGATCTGGCTTTAGTCGGTGTGTCTGGCATTCAGTGGTCTGCTGCACTGGGAGGCCGAGCCTGCCTTCAGTCCTGGGACTGTCTCGGGTATCATTTCCTGGACGCATCCCAGAGGAGCCCTGGGCTCAGGCCCCGCTCACTGATCGCTCCTCAGTGGTATTTAGCGCTCTGGGTGGGATGCTTCCTCACCACCATGATTCCTTCCTGCGCAGGGCTCCTCCTTCACGCTGCCCTTTCTCCGTGGCGGCTGCGGCGCCGCCATCCCCCCCTCCTGTGGGGCGCTGTTTCCCGGGGGTGGCTCTCTCTGTAGAGCGCGCACCTCCTCTGCTGGCTCTGATTTTCCTCAAGTGTGTGTTGAGTCTTGGTTACTAGTTCATATCGCAGACGAGGATCTGAGACGTATGGTCTTGTTAGGCCCTGTCCTGGGCCCAGAGAATCTGTTATGGTTATAAGCGCTCTGGCCGAGGAGCTGAGCTTGGAGTTATAGGGGGCGGAGGCCTGGCCCTGTAGCTTCTCTCAGGGTAGGGTGTGCGGGCAGCTTGTCTGTGGGTCACCGGGCTCCTGCTCTGTGGCCGAAGTGCCTTGGGACGCTTCTCTCCTTGCCCAGCCTGCTCTGGGTGTCTCCTGGGTGGAAAGTCCCCCGTTAGGGAAGCTGCAGGCCACCTGGGCAAGTGCTAGTGTCAGAGGCTGCATGAGGCCAGTGGCCCACCCTCTGGTGCGTTACCTGGGAGCCTCCCCTGGCTGCCCTGCCCCCGGGGGCCCCCACCTCTGGTCTGACTGACGCCCGTGCCTCTGGGCACGCTCGCCCTCAGCGCTCTGAGCCCCTGTAGGCCGCAGTCCCTGAACTCTGGTGAGCGTCATCGTCAACCACAGTCCCAGAAATGCCCCTTGGGGTGGCCTCCGTGGCGCCGTGGCTCTGCCTGTGGGGGCGGCAGTTTGGGCGTGTGTGTTCATCATGCTGGGCCAGGAGTGGGCCTCTGGTGAGCTCTTCAGCTGGATCTGAGAGCTTTTCGTTGTTCACTTGCTTAAAAGAGTTTTAATGCGGTGCTACTGGTGCTTACTTTTCTAAACAAGTAGCTGCTTTTACTTTAGTTATTTTTAGAACTTGGCCTTGAATGAAGACTTCTTTCCAGCTCCCTGCCCTTCAGTCCCAGGCCTGTGCTGTCCAGTAGGACGGCCCTGGCCACAGGTGCCCGCTGGTCTGAGCTGAGGCGCTGCGGGCGGAAGGTCTGGGCGCCCGAGACTCAGCCTGAGAAAGAGAACATAACGTCGTACTTTTCAAATATTGATTGTATGTGGACGTGATACTGTTTTGGATGTATTGGCTGATTTTACCTGTTTCCTTTACTTTTTAAAATGTGGCTACTGGAAACATTTAAGTTACATATGTGGTCACATGTGTGGCTCGCGTGACGTTTCTGCTGGACGGTGGTCTAACTCTGAATTATCTCCAGCGACTGGACCAGCCCGAGGTGAATTTGCGACAACAGTGTGGGACTCCTCACCTTTTCCACATCATCACTCCCCTGGGCCCAGTCTCCTCTGCCCCCAGAGACAGGCCCACGGGCTCCCAGTCCGGCACGGAGGAGCACTGTTCTCTCTGCGTTTCTTGAAATAAAATAATTGTGTCAACTTTTCAAAATTGTATTACACAGAACATTTTAAGTTCTTTTTAAAAAATATATTTTTATTGTTTTTTTGGGGGTTTTTTTAGAGAAAGAAACATTGATGAGAGAGAAACATGAATCAGCTGCACACCCCCTACTGGGAAGCAAGCCCAAAACCTAGGCATGTGCCCTGACCAGGAATCGAACCTGTGACCTCCTGGGTTGACACTAGACCAGCTGGGCTTAAATTATTTTTTTAAACTTTTTGGCGTGTGGGTGTGACTAGTTGAGTTAAATACTTCTCACACGCTTTTGTACGTCATTTCCTCCGTGAGGAGCTTTCCGGTCTGACCTTGCGGTCAGGGTGGCGGAGGGCCTGTGCGGGGCCGCATCTGCAGGAACTCAGGCAGTCAGTTAAGTTGACAGAAGATGCAAGTACTCGTCTACCTTTTCCCCATTTTGTAAAACAGGGTCCCGTGGGTTTTAACAAAATTATCCATCTTTGTTTCCCGTTGTTGTTTATCTTAAATGACTGGAGTCATTTCCAGTCCTGACGCCCTTGTCTTCGTCCTGTGTTAGAGAGCCTTGCTCCCCAAGTTCCTGGTCCGGGGACATCTGAACTCGACCAACTGCGTCATCACGCAGCCGCTCACGGGCGAGCTGGTGGTGGAGAGCTCGGAGGCCGCCGTCCGGAGCATCGAGCTGCAGCTGGTCCGCGTGGAGACCTGCGGTGAGGGCCCTGCGCTGCCTCCTGCCGGGAGCCTCGGCCCCAGTGACAGACGAGGACGGGCTGTGAGGGAGGGGACTCGCGGGCACCCTGGCGAGTGGGGGGTGGGGAGTGTGTCCACGCAGGTTCTCGTGGTCACGGGGCGTCCTGATGGCTGTGGGAGGCTCGTGGGACGGTCCTGCTTTCTGACCACGTGGTGCTCGGCCCTCCCCCAGGGTGTGCAGAAGGCTATGCCCGGGACGCCACCGAGATTCAGAACATTCAGATCGCCGACGGGGATGTTTGCCGGGGCCTCTCGGTGCCCATATACATGGTCTTCCCCCGGCTGTTCACCTGCCCCACACTGGAGACCACCAACTTCAAAGTGGGTGAGTGCCAGCCCCCAGCCCTCAGTCCTGAGACGGGGTGGCCCACAGAGGGGCTGCCCGTGCCCGGGACAGACACGCGGTCCGCTCGGGTCAGGCACAGCTCAGAGCACTGGTCCTTCGTCACTCCACGGAGCTCACAGAGCTGCCATGCTGGGGCGGGGCCCACCGCCAGCAGTCCCAGCTCTTGAGGGCACTGCCTTGTCACCCAGGGAGACGCCAGCAGCCACGTTGGTGTGGCCAGGGCAGGGGACGGTGTGGGCCGGGGCAGGGGACGGTGTGGGCCGGGGCAGGGGACGGTGTGGGCCGGGGCAGGGGTCGGTGTGGGCCGGGGCAGGGGTCGGTGTGGGCCGGGGCAGGGGACGGTGTGGGCCGGGGCAGGGGACGGTGTGGGCCGGGGCAGGGGACGGTGTGGGCCGGGGCAGGGGTCGGTGTGGGCCGGGGCAGGGGACGGTGAGGCTAGGGCGTGGGATGATAAACTGACGAGAACTAGCACAGCAGTGGACAAGCCAGCACTGTGCATGAGGTCAGGCAGGGCGGGGACCAATCCGTGACAGTTCCGTGGCCATTAGTCACTTGAAACCGGTGTTTGTGGACAAGCTTCTGCCCACGGCCGAGGCCCCCAGTGAGGAGGTGTGAGGCCTGGGAGCTTCTGCTGAGCCGATTCTCTGAGCAAAGGGGACCCCGTCCCGAAGGCCGTTGCGTCCTATTAACGTCACATCCCCCCTAAATCTTGTGAGGTGCGTTATGTTTAGTCCAGAGAGGATCTTTGGTTTTAAACCAGACCATGATTTGACTTAAACCAATTCCAAATAACGTAACTTAAGGGCGTTTTTATCACCAGAGTGAGTGTGTGCTGTTGGCTGAGAGAGGGAGGCTGTCGGCCGCACTGAATCCCGGGCCTCTTGGGCCTGTCCTTTGTCTTCTCAGAATTTGAGGTTAACGTCGTGGTGCTGCTTCAGGGCGACCATCTCATCACCGAGAACTTCCCACTGAAGCTCTGCCGGATGTAGCCGGAGGGAGCACGGAGGTGCAGGGCGGGGCCCCTCCTGGAGCCGGAGCCGGAGCTGGAGCCACCGCAGGCCCATCCTCAGGGATTCTGGGCAGATGTGGACCTGACCCCTTGGATCTGGTCACCTCCTTCCTCGTGTCCTCCACGCTCCTGCTCCCAGCGGCGCCTTTCCTTTGAGAGTCATCGGGACTTCCCAGTGTTCTTGGCAAGATCATTTCCTGTGGCTCCCGCCTTCCGGCTGCTCGTTAGGGGCTGAGGACATGTCTGACCACAGTGTGAGCTTCGCTGGGGTTAGGTCCTGGGGACCTTAGGGGCCAGGCCTGTCTGACTGGGTCGCGCCGTGGCCGGGACTGCGAGCCCAGAGCCACTGCCAACAGGGAGCTCCTGGCTGGTGGCGCCCGCAGATGCGCTCCGGGGAGGGGTGCCGAGTGGCCTCCACTGCAGGTGTGGGCATGTATTCCGCGCTGCCCTGTGGTTCTCCCACATTTTTCATGAGAACTTTAAAGTGTTCTTGCTGTCATGGGGTGAGGGAGTTGGGTGACAATGGCTGAAGTAGCAAGTCTCAGGACCTGGTATGAAATCTGGTGCCACCATATTCCCAGAATGCACTTCCATGCCAGCCTATGTGAGGGGCACATATGTCCATGCCTGGTGTCGGGTGCACTGGCTGGTGCCCTGGACCGAGGAACCCGGCCTCTGCGACCCAGAGACCTGTGTCAGCCAGACCCTCTGGTTCAGGGTGTGGAGAGCCTGTGACACCCACTGCCCACACCCCGCCCCGACCTGCATTCTTCCCACCAGCACAGGGAACAGTCCTCAGAGTAAGCCCTGCGCTCTGCAGGCCGCCTGGCCTTCCCTGCCAGTCCTCCCTCCGGGCCGGGCTCCGGCCGGGCGGCTCAGGCTGGCGGCCATGGTCCCCGCCGCCCCAGGTGATGAGAGAGGCTGAGGGCCAGCAGCCGACTCAGGCCTCGCTTCATCGGGGCCGTCGGTCCCCTCAGAGGACACTTCTGCGCAGTCTCCTGTTATGCTCACATGACACTAACAATGACCTGTCTTTGATGATGTGTTCACAGTGGCAGAAAACAGGCTATGCTTTTTGGTAAATTTCAAAGGCGGAAATCATTTTTAATGAAGAATAAAAAGCTAAATGAGAATTTTGAAAAATGGTTTGGGATGTGTATTGCTATAAATTGCTTTACTAAACCAGTTTATGGATACAAATATTACAAGTGCTGTCCTTAGGGAGTAATTCTTACCTGAAGAGGATCCACAGCCCATTTCCTTCTGCCCAGGCGTCCCAGGCAAGGGCCTCCGGCTAGACATTCCCTTCTTGGCCAGACACCTGCACTGTGGTTGCTAGGGAAACGCGGATGTTTGGGTGTCCTGGACAGCAACCATCTGCTGCTGCCCAGGCTGGCGCTGGGCATCCACTCTCAGGCTCAGGGTTGTCAGATTCTCCTGTTCGGGCACGAGGAGGAGGAGGCAGGGGAGTCGGAGCCGTGAGTGCACTGTTCTGGAAAGGTCCACGTGGGCGGAGCACATTCTGGCCATCAGAGCTCCAGCAGGATTGGGCTCAGTTCCCAGCCACGCTGAGCTCCAGAGCAGGCGGAGAGGAATGCAGAATAAAATGTAAAAGCCGAAGCATTGCGCCTGGATTTGTCGAGTCCCTGTCCGAAAGCTGGGGGACGGAACCTGACTGGCTCCCCAGGGGAGTCTCACGTCCTGAACCTGAGTGTCACTGGCCCTTTGAAAACTTCGGGCTGAGTTGCCCCACGGCCAACGGTGGTTGGGGCTGTAGCAGGTCACAGGCCCTCCCGCATCCCTGCTGCTCCCCCTTCTGGTTGAAAAACGGCTGTATCGCCAAGGACCCCCGCCTGCCTGGTGAGGGACTTAACTTCCTGTTCCTTTGCCTCTAGGTATGGTCATGTGACAGGTGAGGGGCTGGCAGTTGATGACAGAAAGGCCATGTCCCCCACCTTCCTGCCCATCCCGGGGAGTGGCCATCTGACGTGGCCCAGTTCCACCTGCGCCGGAGGCGTCCCCTCAGCTGCCTCCTCCGGGCCTCACCCTGACCTGTCACTGTCCTGTTTTCCCCTCACGGCATCTGTCACCTCACTTGCTGAGAGGCACCAGGGCTCTGCTCCCTCTGTTCACAGTCGGTCCCCTCGGTGTGGATCCGCTGGATCAAACAGGTGAAGTCCGGACACGGAGGGAACATTTGCAGCTGGATCCAGTTTAGGGATGACATGGTGATTGAAGACCCAGACCCAGACCATGTTCTAGTCCCAAATTCCTTGCTCTGAGTGTGTCAGGAAATGATCTGAACCCACTCAGAGCACGAGAACACTGGAGAGTGAGTGACCTCCCAGGAACTCCTGGGGGTTTATTCCTGCTTCACAGCCGAGCGCAGGAAAGCCGAGGCTGCCCCGTCCACGTCTGTTCACCTGTGGCCATCCTGCCGCCCCTCCAGGGAGAACTGGAGTCGATGGCCACAGCCACCATGAACCACGGCCCTTCAGATCCCAGCTGGCCTTCAAAAAGGGGGAGAAGTTTGTGAAGGACCCTGGGAAGGGCTGTCTACGCTCACTTAACGCTGAGACTCCGGATGGGAGATGAAACATTGCAAAGCGAACCATTGCCTGGGAAAATGCTCCCTTTACAATATAAATAATTCCGTAACCACGAGACCCAGAACAAGCCACCTTGAGTAGGAAAAAACCACACGGGGGCCTGAGGTGGAGGTGAGAGGAGGTCTCCCAGGCCTGTGCTCTGCACTCCGACCACTGGGAGCTGTTTATGTCTGAGACTGAGCAGTGAGTGTTCAGAGGACGCAACTTTACTCAGAAACTCAAGGCACCGAATTTATAGGAGCAAAGCTGACCCGACTGCACTTACACAAAATGTAGTCAAATTCCTAGAGCAGGTCATTCATAAGAAAGGGAAAAGGCAGACCACGCGCTGACAACTCGGTGAGGAGCCTGGATACCTGGACGCCCTCCTGGGAATGCCCTGGTGAAACGGGAATGCCTTGGCCCTGCCCAGTTGGCAGGATTCTAACTTGGTGGGGTGTTTCATCCCCAAACCCAGCCAGTCCCCCTAAAGCTTTCCGTGTAATATACAGCAAACACACTCCACAGGTTTTAAGTCACTTGGGAGACTACAAAGACATAATTTGCTCCTGCTTCTTTAAGACACTATATTTGGGGGAGCACTGCTCAACCAAGACCAAGGGTACAGAGGTTTGCCTGTGTGGTCCCCTCGACAAGGCCCCGAGGTGGGAGCCTGGGGGACAGCAGCCCCAGAGAGGAGGTTCCGAGAGGCAGGGCTGCTGAGCAGGGGACCACGAGGTGGGGCGCCACCCCATTCTCAGGGGTGAGGACTAGCGCTTCAAGACCAAGCCTCTGGGTCTAAAGTGACAGGAATGGGACAAGCTTTCTGTCTGCAGATGGGCAGCCACTGATGGGGCCGCCAGGGGAGGCCGGCCGCCCAGACACGCTGCTGTGCTTGTGGACACACCGCGAAAAGGGTGAGCTCAGGATTCCCAGTGGAAAGGAGCAGAAAAATAAGTTCTTAAATAAATCATTCTTTAAAAGTTTCAACATCCGTATGCATTAAGAAAACCCAAATTCAGCCCTAACCGGTTTGGCTCAGCGGATAGAGCGTCTGCCTGCGGACTCAAGGGTCCCTGGTTCGGTTCCGGTCAAGGGCATGTACTTTGGTTGCAGGCACATCCCCAGTGGGGAGTGTGCAGGAGGCAGCTGATCAATGTTTCTCTCTCATCGATGTTTCTAACTCTCTATCCCTCTCCCTTCCTCTCTGTAAAAAATCAATAAAATATATTTTAAAAAAAAAGAAAACCCAAATTCAAAGCCCAATACATTAAAAAGATCACATTTAGGAAATGAGCTTTTCCCAAGTTTTTTACTACTATGTTCCTTTATATCTTACTGAAAATACATATTTTTTAATTCATAGGAAATTTGCAACAATCAATTACATATTTTTGCCACAAAGAGAAAATCTCAACCAAATTTTAACAAATAGAAATTGCCCCAAACCCTATATACTCTCCTGTAGTGCAATAAAATTAAAAATTAATAAAAGGAAAATCAAATACAATATAAGCACTTGTAAATTATACAACGTTCTTCAAAGTAGAAACCAAAACTTCATTCACAGGCCCTTTTAAACGCAGTGAAGACGAACACACTGTCCAGAAATGGCTTTGCACTATGGCCAGCGCTGCCGCCAGAGCCAAATTCATAGCCTTAAATGTTTTTAACACCAGAGAGAATGAGAACTAATGAGTTTACATTCAAATTAAATGTTTTATAAAACAAGAAAAAAAGAGGAAAGAATTAATGATAAAAGCAGGAATTCATTTGAAAGCAAAAACATCACAGGAAAATATAAAAATAAGAACATCAGTGGGTACTTTGAAAAGACTAATTCAATGGAAGATCTTTAATAGAACAAAACAAAACACAGGAAGGTGGCGGCATAGGTAAACACTGTACTTGCTGCCTCCCACAACCACATCAAAATTACAGCTAAAACACAGAACAACCGTCATCCAGAACCGCCGGAAAGCTGGCCGAGTGGAAGTCCTACAGCTACAGGAGGGAAGAAAACAGCACACTGAGGCTGGTAGGAGGCACAGCACCGGCTGGTCTGGCACCCACACGTGCCACTTTTTTAAGTGGGAGGGAGATTGTCTCTGTAGAGGCCAGCCCAGAGGAGCAAAGGGTCCCAACCCCACACCAGACCTCCAGCCCAGGGTCCCAGAGCTGGGAAGAGAAATCCCTACAGGCCGTAAGAACCATGGTCTGGAGAACTACCAGTGCGGATTGGGGCTCAGTGACAGAGGCTGCTGGAGACCCAGCTGTTCCTCTTAAAAGACCAGCACCATGAACTGAACTTATAAGGCCCTGCTTCCTCTGAGCTCCAGCACCAGAGCGAGTCTCTGGTGACCACAGACACGAGGAGGAACTGGATTGTCTGGCATCAGGGCAGGAACTCCGGGGCGGCTTTCTCCCAGACAGAGGTTCTCTCAGGGATAATTTTTCCTATGCTGGGACCTCCCCAGTGTCAGTGTCAGACCATACCAGATTATAACTCTACACATCCATAAATGACACACTCAAGGGGTAGACTCAGTGAGCACCAAGGCCCCACTGAAGCAAGTTCTGCTCCATCAGGGTGTCTCCTGCGCAGCAGCTCTCCCACTGTACTCGCAGCTGGTCCTCACAGCCAATTGGCCTGGAGGTCAATTCCTCCCAGTGACACCAACAGCAATCAAGTCTCAACTACAACAAGATTGTGCTCACAGCCCACAAAGGAGTGCACCTAGAGCTCCCAGCTCAGGTGAGTGGGGAGGCTGAGCCACTGGGCCCTATAGAATACCTACTACACAAGGCCACTCTACCAACTCAAGGAGACACAAAAGCTCTACCCAATACATAGAAACAAACACAGGAAGCAGCCAAAATGCGGAGACAGACATGTCACAAATGGAAGAAAGCCAACTACTGGATATAGAGCTCAAAACCACAGTTATAAGGTTACTCTAGAATCTTACAGAAACCTCCAAAAAAATGGAAAAGGACCAGTTAGAAACTAAGCAAACACTGACTGAAATAAAGAATAATATACAGGGATTCAACAGTAGAGGATTCTGAGAATCAAATCAATGATTTGAAATATGAAGAAGTGAAAAACACCCAACCAGAAGAACAAAAAGACAAAGAATCCAAAAATATGAAGATAATGTAAGGAGCCTCTGGGACAACTTGCATTATGGGGGTGCCAGAAGGAGAAGAGAGAGAGCAAGATATTGAGAACCTATTTGAAGAAATAATGACAGAAACTTCCCCTACCTGGTGAAAGAAATAGACTTACATGCCCAGGAACCGCAGAAAGTCCTAAATAAGAGGAACCCAAAGAGGACCACACCAAGACACATCATAATCAAAATGCCAAGGGCTAAAGACAAAGAGAGAATCTTAAAAGCAGCAAGAGAAAAGCAGTTAGTTATCTACAAGGGAATGCCCATAAGACTGTAGGTCCATAGCAAGGACCTACAACCAAGATTACTCTATCTAGCCAAGCTATCATTTAGAATTGAAGGTCAGATAAAGAGCTTCACAGACAAGCTAAAGAAGTTCATCACCACCAAACCAGTATTACATGAAATGTTGAAGGGTATTCTTTAAGAAGAGGAAGAAGA